GATTAAACCATGCTCTGATACATGTTAAGTGTAAAGGATTAACACAATATATTGAAGAGGAACAAAGAGAGGTCAAAAGCTTGACCTAGTTCTCATATATCATTGTATTTATACTTAACTTACAATAATAAAAATTACACATACTACCCTACCACTATTAACAATTTATACATACTACCCTAATACTCTTAACATAAGATATAGTCTGCGAGGAGAATTGGCTAAACATATTTCGTGTGGCTGGTGGTTGTTGATTTCTTGTGTTACAATTGGTTGGTAATGTAAAACTCAGTTTTAGCTAAGCACATTTTGTTGGCGCTCATATGGGATATGCTAGACAAAAATTTAGATTTTTCAGAATGAAAACTAATTAATTGAAGCAAGGAGAGCCTTGAAAATCCAAAATCGTCTACATGCATTCATCTCGCCCTCTACAATTTTCTTGTTCTGAATTCCTAAAATTAGAAACTCTAATTTCAGTCAAAACAGTCACATAAAGAAGATTGATTATGTTTTCTTCTGTTTTTGAAATTCTTCCAAATCCAGCTGTCATAAAGCTCACATCAATCTTCTTCTTTTATCACCCTCTTGGTAGAAGGGAGTTTCATTTCACAACTTCGATCATAATTGCTCCACTCAATATTTTTTTGTTAATTTTCAGCTATTATATAAATTTCTTTTATAACAGGAGCTTGAATTAGGCTACTGTCGAATATCTTTCACTGTTATGAATATGTTATTACAAATATCCTTAACTTAATTTTCCAGACTGGCACACACCCAATGCAACTACACTGGTCAAGAATTTGCATTATTAACTTTCCACTACAATTTTTACCCTAAGCAGTCTTTTTTCCTGAACCCATTAAGAGAGTGTGGCGATGAAAATCTCACAGATCCATCTCTCTAAGTTTGTTCCAGTTATTATCGTGTAGGCATCATAGGGGTAACAAAGCTAATCATCAATCAATCTCACTTGCCTTCAGCATTGATCAAGAATCAACTTCTAATATGCACCAGTCACAGTTATAAGGAGGTCACTTAAACCTTTTCTTAGATCACTTCAATAAACAAGAATTTAATTCTAATTGTTGTGTATAGATGGATTTTTTTAGACTTCTCATTTTAGTTTATAGATTATTACTTCTATTGTCGATTGTCACATATTAGCTTGTAATTTCAGCACTTAAAAAGTTTAGTGCAATTTCATAGCCACAATGTGTTCTTTACCCTTATTATCTTGACTAAGTAGTGGGTAATTTCCTGCTTCAGCTACACGCTCTTCAGGATGTTTGATGATTTGATACTTCTAGCTAAGGGGGGTATTACTGTATATCATGGATCAGTGAAGAAAGTTGAAGAATACTTTGCAGGTCTTGGGATCAATGTCCCTGAGCGTGTTAATCCTCCGGATTATTTTATTGACATTCTTGAGGGAATTGTAAAACCAGCCACAAGCTCTGGTGTGAACTACAAGGAACTTCCTCTCAGATGGATGCTGCATAACGGGTACCCTGTACCACCAGACATACTAGATGCTTCAGGAGTGGCAGCATCCTCAATTGGAGGAAATTCAGCTCAAGGAATAAATTCAGGTGCTGCTGGGTCTGACGGGCAGTCTTTTGCTGGAGACCTATGGACGGATGTGAAGACTAATGTTGAATTGAAGAAGGACCACATACAACATAATTTCTTAAAGTCCAAGGACTTATCTAACCGGAGAACTGCCGGAGTATTCCAGCAATACAGATATTTCCTAGGAAGGTAATTACTCTAATTACTACAAGTGTTCCTTTCCGTCATTTTCCTAGATCTTCTCAAGATGTAACCACTCCACATATGTCTAGTTTTTCTTGCAGACATCATTTTACTACTACAGAAACTTCCACCTGACCAAAAAAAATGACTAACTGTCCTTGTTTGGGTGGCCAATGAGCCAACACTTGATGTTCATATCGATCTATTAGGCATCTTTGCATCTAGTATTGGGTAGACCTTATACAATATCTGTCCTAGCTCTACTGTGGCTTTTGTTTCATTTCTTCTAGAACAATAACAAACACTTTTCACCCAAGTCACAGCCTCCCCCAACCAAACCCAAAACAAAATACTGCAGAAGAACTAAATTAATTTGTGGTAGTATCCTTAAAATGTTAATTTGTGGTGGTATCAGCTGGAAGGTTGGGAGAGAGTATAACTTCCATAAAACACGTTTTTAAAGAAAACAAGGAATGAATGAAATAGTTCGCATGTATTGAAATATAAAATGTCCATTTCCAATAACCATGGTATGTATTTAACGTGGGAGATTCAAACACATTTCTACTGGAAAATAAATAAGTTGATGCTCTTTGGTTTTCTCATTTTCATCAAGTTTGCCTTATTTGGATTATGTTTTGTGACTTGCTTTCCTAAAGTTTGCATTCTTTTTAGGGTAAATTACATTCACCTCCCTTGAAGTTTGACCAAATAACAATCCCTTCTTGTTAGGANTGCCTTATTTGGATTATGTTTTGTGACTTGCTTTCCTAAAGTTTGCATTCTTTTTAGGGCAAATTACATTCACCTCCCTTGAAGTTTGACCAAATAACAATCCCTTCTTGTTAGGAATTTTTGTAACGAAAATGAGGAAACAACTATAATACCCTTAATATAAACTGTGAAATTTCCACAATGCCATCTAAATATTGATTTGAATGGGTGTTTGAGAACATTTTAGTTTTAAAAAAAATCCTTAAATCAGTAATCTTCTTCTCTGGTGAGTCGTCCAGACCACGGTCAAACAAGGCAGTACAAAATCTTGAGTAAATATTGAATGCAACGGTCATGTTATATCAATAATGTTAATAGAAATGTTGATATCATATCATTAATTAATAATAAAAAATATAACGTAGACAAAGTGAACGTCACTTGAATAATTATCTATATAATAAAGTAATTAGATTGTTTGTTTTGAGCTTTTTGTGGCTCAGATTATTTTAATCCGATGGTCCTAATTGGACTTTCATTTCTTTTACAAGTCTTAAGACTCTCATCTCTCTCTCATACTATTATCTTTTTTTTTTACTCAGTGTTATTTTTGTTATTATTTACTCCATAAAACTGATAAAACTACATATTATGCGATTATTTATTCCATGAAACTAATTAAAATTTTTTATATATCTGTCAACGTATATTTTATCAATTGTTTCTTAATTTGTAAATAACACTTAATGTAAATCAAAAAATGGCATATTGACTATAAACACTAAATAATATTTAACACGAAATGAACTTTAGATTGTAAATTTATATATAATTTTATCAAAAAATGACATTTAATTTTGTCTAATTTATATTCAATTTTGTCGAATTAATATCAAATTAATTTTTATTGTTATCAAATTAATATTAAAATTTATTTAATTAATTTTTTGGAGTACTAAATTATATCAATTTTTTGGGTACTAAATCAAATTTTATTTGATTTTATTAAAATTTTAAATTTTTTTTGGTATTGACTTGGAGAAAAGCAATTGTAAAAATAATAAAGTTTTTTGAGAAGAAATTTTTAATTTTCGTTAGCAACATTGACAGAAGGGAGACAGAGGGGGTCTCTGTGGAATGTATTTTAAACATCAAGGGTCTCCGTGTTATTTATAAAATATCAGGAGATATCCGTGTCATATTGTCAAAACTTAGGCTATGCTATTTTTTAATTAAATATTAATTTATTATTATTTTATCTTACAAACTTGAATTATTGTATTTTTAATAAAAACAGTTATTGGTTAGGAGAGTTTGTTGGTAACCAAAAAAGAAATGTGTATGGGTGTGTTTCTGTATATAATTATCTGTGGAGAATTAAAAATTTGGTGAATAAACTTATGATTATATTATGTTATTTTGGGGTTAAATGGTAATAATGGTGATAAATTTATGAGTGTTATAAATGAACAAGATTTTATTATTGTTTAAAGATTATAAATTTCAACGGGTTATGTTAGTATTTATTTTTTTTCAAATGCATTTATATATANTTATAAATGAACAAGATTTTATTATTGTTTAAAGATTATAAATTTCAACGGGTTATGTTAGTATTTATTTTTTTTCAAATGCATTTATATATATGGCGTTATTTTGGAAAATTTTTATATATTTTTATGATAGTTCCATTAATATAGAGGATATGATCAACGATATATTTAAAGTCATTTTAAAAAAAGAATTAGTATGAATATTTTTATGTCATTATTTTTAAATTTGGACAATTGTTTAAGATTTTTTTGTTTATTGTATAGTGTCTTTGGACACATGTAATAACTAGTTTGTTTATATAAAAGAAGAGAAAGTAATTATTTATTTACATAAAGGATTGGTTATTAATTTTAATAATGCTCATTTATTTATTTATTTTAATATTAATAATTAGCACGTCAGCATTGTTATCTCTCGTTACAACGAATATTTTCTCCGCACGAGCACTGACCCAAAAACACAATACACAAGCACCACAATGCAGTATCCAATCCACCAATCACTAGAAGCACCACAACCTTCGCACACTGTAGGGCGCACACAGACGGAAAGGGGAAGGTGCACGCACACCCACCATCACACCACCATCATATATTCAAATTCGATGTCGATGATGATCTGCTCGATCCATATGGAATAGGTTGTTGCATTGTGTGTTGGCTATGGTAGATTCAATCCAAAAGGACGCGCGCGTACGAGAGAGGGCCCTGGTGACTAGTAATGGAGAAGGGCATGGGAGAGCAAAAGTAAAAGTGACTGGCGATGGAGGAAGGTCCATGGGAGAGTATAAATCAAATGTTTGTTTGGCTACTAATTTCAGGCTGCTTGTAATAGGGATATGGATTGTTTGGCAACAAGTTTAGATTGGCTATAACTTGAATAAGGGCAATATTAACATTTTAAGAAGAACAATGTTACATGAACTTAAAAAGTAAACTTAAAAATTAGACTGATAATCTCAATCATTGATTTCACCGTAAGTTCTAACATTTATTGGACCCACTACCTATTCAATGATTGAGATTATCAAGTCTAATTTTTAAGTGCATTACTCTTTTAAGAAATAGGTTCCTAGATCAGCAATTATTTAACATTTTTCTAACAACAAACTAACGGTTGGGGAATCCGTTACAGACAATCAAAACAAAACGAAGTGTTATTTTCCTAACAAGAGGGGTTGTAATTGTTACTTGACTAAACCTCAGGGGAGGTGAATGTAATTTACTCTTCTTTTTAATAACTGACATTTGACTTGTATGTTATAACTGGATTTTGTTCAGAGTTGGTAAGCAGCGGCTACGAGAAGCGAGAATACAAGCAGTAGATTTTCTGATTTTACTGATAGCTGGAATCTGCTTAGGAACACTTGCTAAAGTGAGTGACGAAACCTTCGGGGCGTCAGGATATATGTACACCGTAATTGCAGTTTGTAAGTTTGAAACCTTGTTATTCTTTGCTCTATCATGCTCCTTGTGTATTTAATTTGTCTATTGTTGCTATTAGGTATGGAATGTATGATTGGTATTTCATTCATCAGTGTGTGCATCCTGAGTATGTTTTGAAAGTAGTGCCTTTCTAGGAATTTTACACTGACACCCCCTCTGGGATCTAACAATGGCAAGGTTCCTCTGTTGTTTATGACCACACCCCTCTGATTTTGGTTTGGGAACTCTGTCAATCAATGTTTGAGGTCACAAAGTTTTNAACAATGGCAAGGTTCCTCTGTTGTTTATGACCACACCCCTCTGATTTTGGTTTGGGAACTCTGTCAATCAATGTTTGAGGTCACAAAGTTTTGTTTGGGTAAGCTAAACATATTAATATTATATGCAAAAATACTTCTACCCAACTGGTAGGATTACATCTATGAGGAGGAAATCCAGTACCTACAAACGACAGTAATAAATCAACAGTTCCATGATATGCCTGAGCTTACTTGATGAGACAATGCCTAAGGGTTATCTGACTCAATGCAATAACACTATTAAGACAACTAGCACTGCCTCTAGTGAACCCACCTTCAGTGCCCACCTCACGATCACCCTCTAACCGAGTTGCTTCCAAATTTACTATAACCCCAGCTGCCACCATGTAATCTCCTCTGTTTCTCTCTCTCAAACACACACACACATGCACACAGATAATGAAATGCCAAAATTTCCATTTTTGGTATTGCCAAAATTTCCATTTTTGGTATTCCCAAAAATGCTTTAATTTCACATTCTAATTATATAGTATTTATTTTTGTTTGGGGTGGTGGAAAAAGAGACGGGGGAGAATTTTAGGTTTATTTTGTCTTCAATATAGTGTAATTTGGCAACATTTTTTATGTGTTTGGTAGCAAAGATTTAACATTCTAAAGGCAAGCATATTTTTAATCATTGGGGTTAGAATTTTAAACCAAAGCTCGATTAACAACTGCATGCCACATTCTCTGACAAGAGGTGTTGTAATAATTGTGGAAACTGTGAGAGTATCTCTATCAGTGTAATTGTCCCCTTTCTTTTTATCTGTCCCACTAAAATTTCACCCGTAAGTTCTCAATAAGAACCCAAAAGGCTATAGTGAAAGAAAATTAGTAGAACATGTGTAGTTTGTAATTCTAAAAATACACTAAGGGCAATCTGTGAAAAGAGTGTTTTTCTCTTCTTCCATGGTTTCTTCTTCGATCAAATGTCTATCGATTAATTATTCGGGATAAGTTATGATTTAATGGGTATTTATTTCTTTAGCATGTAGTATGTGACCTATCAAGCAAGGAATAACATGAATAAATTTTGATGCAGTCAGTATGTAATTGTTGTCTATTTCTCCTGAAAATCTCTTTTATGTATTCTTTCTCATCTTCCCAAACATTTATTGCTGACTTTCAGCTCTTCTCAGCAAAATTGCGGCTTTGAGATCATTTTCTCTGGATAAGTTACACTATTGGAGAGAGAGTGCTTCTGGCATTAGCAGCCTGGCTTACTTTCTGTCAAAGAATACAATTGACCATTTCAGTACAATTGTAAAGCCGGTTGTTTACCTGTCGATGTTTTATTTCTTCAACAACCCAAGATCTTCCTTCTGGGATAATTATCTCGTATTAGTTTGTTTGGTGTATTGTGTGACTGGCATAGCTTATGCACTTGCCATCTACCTTGAACCTGGCCAAGCCCAACTGGTGCGTTTTTAACAGAGTTTGCACGAAATAATTCAATAGTTTATTACATTGAAATAGTCTCTCTCTTATGGTTGCAAGCTACTTTTGTTTTATGCAGTGGTCAGTGTTGCTTCCCGTGGTTCTGACTCTCGTTGCAAACCAGGATACAGCAGAAGGAGGGTTTTTGGGAACAATAGGAAACTTTTGCTATACTAAGTGGGCTATGGAAGCATTTGTGATAACAAATGCGGAAAGGTTTGACATGATCACCCTTTCTTCATATGGAGTTAATTGACGTGTGTAGGTGTTTTTATGAATGCAAGTAACAGCTTAGTTCATAAGTACATCTATAATGGCCCCTGGACCGTTGCTTAACAGGTTAATATGAGTGAAAATTACACAGATATAGACTTAAATAAGTTGTAATTCATCACAGGCTAGTGTCTTGTTTCTGACACTAGTGACGAATTTCACCAAAGCATGGAGATAATAATTGCAATGCACTGAATTATATCAAGCCAAACCATGAAGTATTTAAAAAAAATTACAAATTCACAATAGCTGGACAACAACCTTCTCCAACATCTAAGGCACCAAAANTCACGTGTGTAGGTGTTTTTATGAATGCATGTAACAGCTTAGTTCATAAGTACATCTATAATGGCCCCTGGAACGTTGCTTAACAGGTTAATATGAGTGACCTACCTGAAAATTACACAGATATAGACTTAAATAAGTTGTAATTCATCACAGGCTAGTGTCTTGTTTCTGACACTGGTGACGAATTTCACCAAAGCGTGGAGATAATAATTGCAATGCACTGAATTATATCAAGCCAAACCATGAAGTATTTAAAAAATATTACAAATTCACAATAGCTGGACAACAACCTTCTCCAACATCTAAGGCACCAAAATGAATCTGAACAAGAGCCAGAGCGAGAATACTGTTTCCTTTTGCATTCGGTAAAAGAAGAGAAGGGGGGAAGCCTATGTTTAGTACTGTAAGGATTGGCAGAGTATGTCAGTTGTTAATGTGCTTTGTTGAAATTTCTTTATTTTTTAGCACAGGGAGTTGTTGAACTTTTTCCCCTGCATCTTAAACTGCTTAGGATCTCATTCATTAGTCACAATTGATGCCTTGAGTTTCACACAGAGATAATNGGAAGGATTGGCAGAGTATGTCAGTTGTCAATGTGCTTTGTTGAAATTTCTTTATTTTTTAGCACAGGAAGTTGTTGAACTTTTTCCCCTGCATCTTAAACTCCTTAGGATCTCATTCATTAGTCACAATTGATGCCTTGAGTTTCACACAGAGATAATTGCCACACATTTGATATCCCAACATGTTGCATTAGAAATGTTGGGCGCAAAGCATTGGTCTTGTTGGGAATCGTATAACATATTGCCGAAGTACCTTTTTTGCTTTAATTCTGAAATTTTTTAAGGATGTTCTACATACGTTAGAATCTGAAAAATTGTTTTTTCTTTGATTACTCAAGGAGTANGCGTAAGATTAAAGGCATACCATTTTTGCTTTAATTCTGAAATTTTTTAAGGATGTTCTACATACTTTAGAATCTGAAAAATTATTTTTTCTTTGATTACTCAAGGAGTATGGTATTATTATACAAGACAACTCAACACCGTATTTCCACCACAATATAAAAGTCTTTCAACGTTATATTGGGAAAGAGACAAAAATAGTAGGAGAGTTTGNGTACCTTTTTTGCTTTAATTCTGAAATTTTTTAAGGATGTTCTACATACGTTAGAATCTGAAAAATTGTTTTTTCTTTGATTACTCAAGGAGTATGGTATTATTATACAAGACAACTCAACACCGTATTTCCACCACAGTATAAAAGTCTTTCAACGTTATATTGGGAAAGAGACAAAAATAGTAGGAGAGTTTGTATGTCAGATTAATTATCTGAGAGATTTTTTCTATTGGATTGCCTTAGGTTTATATAGGTAACCAATGGATGTCTTCAAGAGACACATCTTATAGGGACATGATTGTTAAATATTAACAGACATTTATTTTTGGGTGATAAAGGACACCTCCAAACGATATGCCTCTTTGGCCTTTGAGNTAGATTTGCCTTAAGTTTATATAGGTAACTAATGGATGTCTTCAACAGACACATCTTATAGAGACATGATTGTTAAATATTAACAGACATTTATTTTTGGGTGATAAAGGACACCTCCNTGGATTGCCTTAGGTTTATATAGGTAACCAATGGATGTCTTCAAGAGACACATCTTATAGGGACATGATTGTTAAATATTAACAGACATTTATTTTTGGGTGATAAAGGACACCTCCAAACGATATGCCTCTTTGGCCTTTGAGCATTTTTTTAATTTGGGTCGACCAACCATGGGTGACCCGGTTCAGGTCGACGACCCAACCAAAATCTAACAGGTCTCACCATGGTTTTCCCACTGTTGGGCCGTGTCATAATTTCTGATTCAACTCTGCATTAATTTATGATTCAACACTGCATTTTTGTTGTACTTTCAGGTATTCTGGAGTGTGGTTGATTCAAAGATGTGGTTCACTACAAAAAAAAGGTTTTCAGGTCCGACATTTTATTCCTTGTTTAGTATACATGTTGCTTACTGGTTTAGTTAGCCGTGGTGTCGCATTCTTCTGCTTGGTAACATTCAAGAAGAAATAGTCCTGCTTGTGATTCTCTTCTCCCTGCCTTTTCGTATAACCATGGAAGCACACAACTTTAGAGACTGAAATTTTTGAAGAATTTTGCCCAAGCATTAGAAGACTCTGCAAAGGTTGGTGCCTCTTTGGAACCGTTGCTGAAGAATTCTGTAAATCACAACCTGATTCATAGAACTGTGTAGGGGTCTCGGACTATGAGACCCTTTACATGATTACGGTATTTCTTTTGTCTGATCGTTTTGTTGTCCTATATTAATTTCTCTGTAAGTGGTGAATTGTCTCAGGAACTTCATCGGAATGTATACGTAAGATCCTACATNCTGAAGAATTCTGTAAATCACAACCTGATTCATAGAACTGTGTAGGGGTCTCGGACTATGAGACCCTTTACATGATTAAGGTAGTTCTTTTGTCTGATCGTTTTGTTGTCCTATATTAATTTCTCTGTAAGTGGTGAATTGTCTCAGGAACTTCATCGGAATGTATACGTAAGATCCTACATTTTATAATCAAAAAATGGCCGGGTCGGGTTAGACCTGTAAAAAATTTTTCAAGATAGCCCGAGTAGGATTAACCTAAATCCTTACTCAAGTGAANGCGTGCAAAATTTTCAGATGCATAGTCTTTCGGGGTGTTCATGGCCGGGTCGGGTTAGACCTGTAAAATTTTTTTCAAGATAGCCTGAGTAGGATTAACCTAAATCCTTACTCAAGTGAATTATCGTCCGAGCTCAACTAAACTTTGGGTAGGGATAGACAACTCGTAACCCAACTTGTCACTCGCCGGCCGAGTTTTTATGTATAATAGCAATAAACTACGTGCGGTGCAAGTTAATTTTTTTAATTGAAATATTTGATAAAACAATAAAAAAATATAATAATTGTCAAATTAGGTATTATCTCATATTTATCATACTTTAAATTGTTTGTATTTATTTCATAACTATAAACATCTAATACACTCATTTTTGTGATTTTTTTATTTGAGCTACTAAGTAGTAGGGGGTTATNTGGTCAAATTAGGTATTATCTCATATTTATCATACTTTAAATTGTTTGTATTTATTTCATAACTATAAACATTTAATACACTCATTTTTGTGATTTTTTTATTTGAGCTACTAAGTAGTAGGGGGTTATAGGATTTTCTTTTCTCGATTATTTTTCACTTTGTGTCTCAATAGTTTTCGACTAAATTTATTTTGATTATGAATGAAGAGAAAAACTATATATATTNGGCCGGGTCGGGTTAGACCTGTAAAAAATTTTTCAAGATAGCCCGAGTAGGATTAACCTAAATCCTTACTCAAGTGAATTATCGTCCGAGCCCATCTAAACTTTGGGTAGGGATAGACAACTCGTAACCCAACTTGTCACTTGCCGGCCGAGTTTTTATGTATAATAGCAATAAACTACGTGCGGTGCAAGTTAATTTTTTTAATTGAAATATTTGATAAAACAATAAAAAAATATAATAATGGTCAAATTAGGTATTATCTCATATTTATCATACTTTAAATTGTTTGTATTTATTTCATAACTATAAACATTTAATACACTCATTTTTGTGATTTTTTTATTTGAGCTACTAAGTAGTAGGGGGTTATAGGATTTTCTTTTCTCGATTATTTTTCACTTTGTGTCTCAATAGTTTTCGACTAAATTTATTTTGATTATGAATGAAGAGAAAAACTATATATATTATTCTTTTTTTCTAAAAGAATAACTCGATTGATACAATATCATCTCCAATACCCCAAATCGTCCATTCAAAAGTTTGGCAAAGATAGAGATATTTGTATAATTTGTTAGTGATTAGTTTGTTATTTAAATATANTATATATATATATATATATATATTATTCTTTTTTTCTAAAAGAATAACTCGATTGATACAATATCATCTCCAATACCCTAAATCGTCCATTCAAAAGTTTTGCAAAGATAGAGATATTTGTATAATTTGTTAGTGATTAGTTTGTTATTTAAATATATAGGGATGTAATGATATTTAAATACAAAAAGACATGTTAGCCTTTATATTTTTTATAAGAGCAAAATAGTAAATCAAAAGTTTTTCATACTAAAGTACTTTTATTAATAGTATGATATAGATTTATACATTTCATTTAAAAAATTTTCAACTAAGCATGTTTATAAATTATATATTTGAATTAAAAATAGAGTAAAAATGAACAAAAAATAAATAATAAATAATTTTATTTGACAGGAATATTTAGTATTTAAGTAAATAATAAATAATGAAAAATACTCTAGATTACTGAATTTAGTATTTAAGCAAATTTAATTATTTTTTTTTGAGCGAAATATGCCATTCAATGGTCAGTTTTTTTGTTAAATAAAGTGGGTGGACGAGCGGGTAGCGTGGGCTGGATGAACGAGATTTTGCAGGTGGGTTAATAGGCAGGATTTTAGGCTAGGTAAAGAGTTTGGAGACAAGCACAAACCTTCTTTTAAAAGATATTGAGTTAAAGTTTGTACGGGCTAATTATTCGACTTATTAAATTTTAGACGGTTTTTGGACCAGGTCCTGTGGGCCAACCCAACCCATGGGTTCTTGGGCCTATATATTTTTTTTTTTTTTTTTTTTT